GCAAGCGAATCAAAAATCGTTAAGCCTCTTAGTGTCAGAAGTTGTCATTCAATAGCGCAATTTCAAAATTTTTGGCAAGCAGCATCGATGTAGAAAAATATTCTTTACGATATGAGCAAATCGATATAAATATTTGGACCCTCACTCCGGCTAGAGTAAGAACTATCGGTATGGTTCTTTTACACACTCTTACAATCACACAGAAAATTTCTTGCTCTAGCATGACACCAATTCCGATCGACCAAAAATTTGTAATCGATCATTTTAGTTTTTCAAACATCTTCCTGTAATAGTCTTCTACAAGACTATCTCAACAAACCTAAAACATTAGGACCGCGGGAGTCACCTCAAGAAAAAATTCCCATTCCTTCATTTACAGCTACCAGTCCCATACGAACTTGTTATAAAACTAAAATTCGCAATTCGACGGAATACATTCCAAGTGCTTTGCTAATTTTCACAACTTCAAAAAAATTTATTGGTTAATGTTCTTGAAACTAAAGAAAGAATGGGCTCCTTGAATTATGCGTAAAAAATTTTTTACATATTGAGAGCTTCAGTAGAGCAAACCAAACATTTGAGAATAAAACAGCTAAGATTTGAGACTGCCAATATATTTTGCCTAGAAACCAGCAAGAAGCTGCCGTCACTACTGAAACTCGTTTTGACTATTGTGTTCTCCTAAATTCCTACAAGAACCGTCTATGAAAATAAAATCAAAGACGACAGAGCCATGCCATCATAAGGATTTATTGTAAGTGAAACGTTTCTATAACGAATGTAAGGAAAGTGTGCTTTCAATCCGTATCTCTCATTTTTTCCTTCTCTTGGTCGAAGGTGATTTTCTCGGTTTTGCAGGCTTTTTCGGTGTCTTGCTCATGGCAGCTCTCGTTTTCGGCTTGCTTTTTTTGCTCCTTGGTGGTTTTTTCGCAGTCTTTTTCGGTGGTGGCGTCTTCACGGCCTTGCCACTCTTCCTTATTCTTACTGGTTTAGCTTTAGCCATTTTAGGTCCAGATGGGGTAACTGCTTGACCTGGTGAGGCCTCTGGAGTTCCTGAATCTTGAGGGAGACTGAAGAAATCTTCATCTGCTGCAACACCAGGTGAAACGGGTTCGGGCTGAAAATTATTAGGTGCTACATTAGTAATTTTGGTGCCAAGAAAAACGATGAAAATTCTAAAAATGGAAATTTTGCTTCATCGCGCCAATGCTCAAAGTTTGCCAATTGAAAAAAAAATCACCTGTTTCTTACCACCTAGGGGACCTTCGCTTCCGGAAGCTTCAGCAGCTTCACCTTTAGGCTGGAAAATAGGACTTTTAGATGGTGTAGTTCAAACACAGATATCCAAAACTGCTATTTGTTCATTTTGCACGCTGCATCGTACGAGGAAAGGAGCAAAGCGGTTTAAGGATGAAAGCTTGTATCAAGCATCTATATAATATCGTATATATTATATCATATTATTATATATTATATTATATTATTAGATATTATATTACACTAGCCGGTGTACCCGGCTCTGCCCGGCTGTATCA